ACCCACGGGCTCAGGCAATCCACACACCTCAGCCTCCCAAAGGCACAGGATTATAGGCTGAGCCACTGAGCCCGGCTCAAATCAACATTTTAATACAGTTCCCACAGAAACCAAGTTCCTTTGGGTGATGTATAACTATGTCAACCGGTATAAAATTTTCTGCTATGCTAGACATCCTGAACAAGTCACATGCTCTGCAAAGCTGCATACTAAAGATGTTGCTCTTCTGGGAAAAACTGGGTTAGGCCATACCCAACATTTCTGGCCCTGAGACACGCAGATGGAGCATGAGCCCTGAGCAGAATAGGAGCCCTTACCTTCCTCAGGTCAAAGTTATACAAAATCCTCACTTGGGTCAATAGCACATACACTTTAACAAGACACTTCTTTGCTTTTTTCTCACCAGGCCTCAAATATTAAACTGGTGCCAATATAACCCTGCCCAGTCCAGATCATCAAGGGAATGGAGCCAAAGTCTAGTATCACTGAGTGCTGCAGTGCGGCCAAGATCACAGACCCAAAGTAAACTACTCCTTTAGAGGTAAGGAATGTAGAGAAAAGTTACCTTAGGACACTGACACTTTTTTGGTTGTTGTTCAGAATCTCATTCTGTTGCCCAGGCTAGAGTGCAATGGCACATTCACGGCCACTGCAGCGACTTGCTGGGCTCAGTGATCCTTCCGCCTCAGCCTTCCAAGTAGCCGGAATTACAGGCATGCGCTACCACGCCCGGCTCATTTTTTGATTTATTGTAGAGATGAGGTCTCGCCAGGTTGCCCATGCTGATCTCAAACCCATGGGCTCAGGCAGTCCTCTCACCTTGGCCTCCTAAAATGCTAGGATTATAGGCCTGAGTCACTGTGCCGGCCGGGACACTTGCCCTTAGCTATGATCGACGTGTCGTCACTGAGGTTGCTGACCAGCCAGCGTCCCACACAGTGAGGGGACTCATAAATGATGGGAACCAAAGGCCTTCAGGATTTGATGGAGGCAGCCTCCCTGGATCTCAACTGTGGAAAAGAAAAGTGGGATCATTTCAGTTGTCCCATCAGGAGCAGAGTGCCAGGTCGCCTTGCATTCGTAGAAGGTCTGTATGGGCGGAGAAAAGGCAGCCTCACTGCACATATTGTGAAAGATGTTACAGGAGCCAGACTCTAAGGCAGCCCAAAAAGGCTAGCTAGAAACACCGTCCTCTTGCATTGCCCATCAAAACATGTCCTTAGACCTCACTGCAAACACACCACAATAACACACAACTTGGCAGCACAGTGAGTGGCCTTTATTTTTACAATATGTAGAAAACTGACATTTAGATTTCAAAACTTTCATTACAAAATTATCAGCAGCAGTTTTAAGCATTTCAACGATGCTGACAGGTTCCACTTTGCTGACACAAACAATGCTATTATCTCACATTCAAAAAAGCAAGACTTGTCCCAGGAGGGCCTATTTTTACACATCCATCACACTGCTCAGGACCCGTTTGTGACTGTGTCTTCTTCCATCTCTTCTTCACCATCATCAGTGGGCCCTAAAGAAAACCACAAAACCAAAAGTTGTATCAATTTTACTATGTAAGTGCCTATTCTGTGGTTACTTTGTGCTGGACACTGGACTAGGTGTAAAATTACCAAAAGCAGCCCCTGTCCTTGAGGAGCTTACAGTTCAGGGATAGTCTAGTCTCTAGGAGAAGGTATGGTTATGATATGCATTGGTTTTTGTCCCAGGTTTCAGGCTCTTAACTCCCATTCTCCTGCCCTCCTTTCACCTGCCCCAAGGCAGGACTCTATTCTTCCCCAGCCTTTCTGATTGTGGGTCTTGGGTCTTCAGACCCTCCCCAGAGAGGGTCCCACCCTATACCCTGGGGGAAGGAATGCTGACATCATGAAACTTCCAAAAAACCCAAGAGGACTGGGTTCTGGGAGCTTCTGGAGAGCTATAGACATGAAGGTTCCCAGAGGGTGGTGCCCAGGGAAACATGGAAGCTCAGCCCCCTTCCCCTATACTTTGCTCTATGTGTCTCTTCATCTGCAGCAAAGTGCAATGTCCTTTATAATAAACCAGCAAACTTGCGTGTTCCCCTGAGTTCTGTGAGCCACTCCAGCAAATTAATCCAACCCAAAAAGGGGGTCATGGGAACCGATTTGGAGCCAATCAGTCAAAGTTCTAGAGGCCTGGAATTGTAACTAGTGGGGGCCCAGTCTTGGGGATGGATTCTTCCATGGGATCTGACACTATCTCTGGGTAGACAGTGTTAAGAACTAAATTGGAGGACACCCAGTTGGTGTATGCTGCTTGGTGTATGGGGTAAAACCCCACACATTTGGTCACAGAAGTCTTCTGTATTGATTGATAACTGTTGGGTTGGTGTGAGAGTGAAGGAAAAATACAGTTGGAGAGTATTTCCTGAAACAGAAGTAATGGTCAAGGGAGGATGGAAAGGGTCACAAAGGTGTTTTATGAAAGTCAAAACCATTGACTCCATCCTGCTGTAGTTGATGATTTTTTTGTGAAGGGAAAAAGGCTATACTCTTACTGTTTGTGTCACTAACATGGGCAAAAAAGCTGAAAATACTAAAAAACATCTGGACACCTACTCTATGCAAGATACTGAATAGTTCAGTGACTTTATTATCTCTAAACTGGGGAAATATGAAAGCAGCTATTAAAAGATTCCTATATTTGTTCAACAATTTTTAGCTGGTACATTGGTCAATATATTCGGGGGGGGGGGG